GACCTGAACATCATCTCAGAATTTATTTTTTTATTTTTCTAAAAAAAACCAAAAGCTATGATTTATCTCTTTTCAATAGTAAAAGATGATTCGCTAAAGTATACCTAACCTATTGGCTATTATACTAGTAGGCTACAGTTATATCTATTTAGTAAGTCAGTAGGTATACACTGCGTGTGACGGATAATCGATTTCTTATACGATCGAAATAACAATAACAATACGATAATAGTATAAATGTATAATACGTTCGTTGTTGTTATTATTATTATTATTCGAGTTGTCGATAACACTCTCGTCTCTCATACACTGATATGATCGTATTATAGTCAATAGACCGAATGTTCGACGACATACGACAATATTATATGAAACCAATTATTATTCGTTTTTCTGGGCAATCGCTCACATCCAAAACGTAGTCATCCGTAGAAACTCAACGATCCGCATAATATTGTCCAAAAATACAATATATTATGACAAATCGTGGTTACATCGATGAATAATAAAGGCGCGTGACATTGTTGTTCGTTTTGGCGGAGACTGACAATAATAAATCGTCGTTTTAGTTGATATCCCACTCCTCTTCGCCCATCCCGTCCTGCACCACACCACAAGTATATAAACATAATATATTAAATATACATAATATATTAAATAAAAGTTGGTCAGAAACTCAGAACGATTGTCGCGAGTATTTACTCGAGTTTAAATCCGGACGATATAATCAAATACAAAGTGAAGGTCGTGTGTGTGTGTGCGCGCGCCGAGTCGTCTCGTTATATTATAATATTATGTATTTATATATATATATGTATATATATACAGAGGCCTTGCCCAGTGACCTATATACGGTCCGTGTAGGCATAGACGGCGGCGTCCTTTCCTCACTGTTTTTTTTTTCTCGCATTTTCCGAGTCCCCCAAACGCTCCTGACCTGCAGGCCGAATCCAAAGGCGGAAAACCGTTTTTATTCTCTCGTCGACCACTGCAGTATAGCCGCGCCTCAGCAAACCTCGGACAAGGGTCGTATATACGCGACGAACAAATAGTATATAATAATAATAATAATAATGACAATAATAACAAAACAAATCTAAACTACTCTATATATAGACTATATTAATACGAATAATCTTGTGAGTACTCGATGTACGATTTTCTTACTTGTGCCGTGGCATTTGTGGTGTACTGAACTCGGCCCAACGACATCGGGTCTCGCAGTGGGGGGAAAAAAATGACTACCCCAAAAACGATGTCGAAACTCGAAAACGGTCGAAGATGACGGCGTCGAGGTTTATGGAAAACGTGAAAAGCCAACGACGACGACGACGACGACGCCTTACGACGATAAGAGACTCGCGGAAGACGGCCGTCGGTGAACACCTCTATGTGAAATGGGGAACGTTGCGCGCGACGGTTGTCGAGCGAGGACGACGGCGACGAGCTTGGACGAGGGAACGCCGTGAATTTTATCGCGCGCACTGCCTGGTTTTCCCGACGGCGGCGGTCGATTTTTCCGCTCACACGGCGGCCGCTACGGGGCGCCTCCCGCGACCGAGTACCGCCCCTCTCCTCCCCGCTGCGCCGCCCGTTTCCCATCCGACCTATTCCATCACAGCTGGACGTGAGGGGTGGGAGTTATATCGATTGTCCTGCCCCGAAGAGAACAACGTGACGCAAGAGTAAAATATGTATGTTTGGCGTGTGAGGATATTATTGATTTTCGAGCAGGTTTTCCGACCAACCGAGTGCGTGCGTGCGTTTGTCATGTTACGCACAAACGTCGAGTCCGTTCCGGAAAATATTTTTCCAAAATCGAGGGTTGGCGGCGGTCTGTATTATCACTGCAGCAGTATAATGACCATAATATAGGTAATCCATAATTACGCGTATCATTATATGAGTATGTACAGTCGTTGACCAAACGCCCCCCCCCCCCAAAAACGCACTTGTATTATATTTCTATTAGTTCTGAGTCATGCCAACCACGGCAGACCATGCGCGGCGCAAATTTAAAGTACAAAATAATAATATGTACACAATCAAACGACGACGCGTCGTTGTCACGAAACGTTTTGCGAAAATTGTTTGAATTAAAACGGCTCGGAGCCATCGTAATCCCAGACCATTAACGTTGTTTATAATATACGATATCAATATTAAACAATATTTTCGTCTGGCGTGTTGGCCACGTTATTGATCTGGAATGAGCAGAGGTCTACCGCAACGTCGACATCGGTCGAGATTTAATTTGAAAGTTTCTCTTCGTCGCAATTGTCCGGAGCGATTGGTCCACCGCCGGCTGCCGACTGATCTGTATTTAATTCCCCGAGGGGGTGTGAACGCAATTTTATATTTTCACCGTGGCGAATGCCTAACTCGAAATTTTAACTCCGAAAAACATCAGTCATCACAGAATAACCGTTTCGCGGACGATATAGGTATACCTAATCATTTTTAAGTTGTCCGTCGAGTAATTGATAGCCTTTCTTCACGTGTTCTTGTGTTATATACCTATACTTACTGAAATTATTGCAAATTACCGTCATCGTAATATCTGAAATGGCTTTTCACTGAGAGCTTTTTTACTTTTTTAAAACCGCGGTATTTCCAGAAAATGGGTTTTATCGGAATTTAATGTTTATAAATATGTTATTTATTACGATTGGTTACTAAACCGACAAGCAATACAATATATTATATAATGAGTAATGATTAATAAAACTACCCTGCTTGTGACAAAAACTAACTATAAACAATAAAACTAACTCGAGTTTACCTTGTTAAAAATAAAATGTTTTGTAACATTAGGAAACAAGCACAAATATTGAAATATGAGTGAAATCTGTAGCCGACTGTAGGTAGATATATAATATGTATACTGTATAATATAATATGAATAAGCTGTTGATAAATAAAATGTATTTTATATGGTTACTAAATTGGTTATTGTTCATTATTTTACACATGAACGACCGTTAGTACAACATATTCATATTAAAAAATATTAATTAGTTCTTCTTGTGCATGCAAGTAATATAAACGTGGACATCAAAATATATTTAGACGTATTTATATTATGTTTTAAATTGTCAGTATATACACATTATTTGGTCAGTTAAATATTATTCTAATTTAATCCAATCGAAATAATAAAGCTTATGTAGCTTATTGAATAATATTTGTTTACGTAAATTAATTCCAAACACAATTTACAATAAATCGTTCAAACATGGTATTATGTGAAATTAAAGTTATAAATATTACATAGGTACACACAATAATATATTGAAATGTGATAAATAAAATATGAGGAAAACTTGAAGTACGAAAACATGTTTTTACGGCCAAATTTTGTCACCAGAACGGCCTCTTAAGGATTTTGGGTTTCCAAAATGTTGCAAAATAGGTTGAAAACTAGGATTTTGACGTTTCGATTATGTAAACTATTTTATATTATGTATATCTTGTATGTAAGGAAAGACCATCTGAATATGAATTTCACAGCACAATACATATTATTACCTTTTACCAGCATAAAGATTTAATAATTTATCAGTTATCAGCTATCACAGCCTGTAAATAAATAAACGGTTTGAAAAGTTAAAATCAGTGCGTTAAACTATTTAAATTACTACACATGTAATAATCAGTGGTGCACTGATTGATTGATTTATTCTAATTAATTAATAAAATATACATGTGTTATAGCAATAAAATAATTTTGATAAAACCTTCCAGCTAATTGAATATTATATAGGTAGCTAGGTACTAACTAGTAACTACAACTAGTGTTATCTGTCCTGCGAAGTGAGATGTCTAAGTGTCTGTGAATTGGGTAGTAAAGGCAGATAAGTGTAGGTACACATGGTAATTCTGACGATAAGCTTAAATACCTAAAATAGATCTGGTGTTAAAGTTAAATTCATAATTATTTAAAAAAAAATTATGAGTTATTACTTATTACTAATAATTATAAGTAAATAATATAATATAAAATGTTTGTTGGATTAACAATTTTATCTCTACTATTAAGTATTTCGTATTTGAATAAAAAATACTATATCATCATAGCTTATAATAAGGCATAAGCATAGTATGCCATTGTTAGTAATAAAAGCCTTATCATGTCATTGTCAAATAGTACATTCAACATAAATTGAATGTTATTATTTAAACTCAAAAAGTATTGACGATTAGTTTGAAATTATTGTAAATGCGACCTCACACAGGCACACTTTAATAATAATTGTGGGTATTATGAATCCATTGATGAATAGTTAAGTATACAATTACGAAATTTATGTTATTAATAAATTAAAAACAGTATCTTGATTTAATTAAAAATTAACACAATAATGGTTTGCACAGCTTATATTTAAAATAACAAATTATACTTATGGAAGTTTGAAACTACGAAGGTTCTATTTTTTTATTTAAATTAAGCAATTATATTATGCTCATAGAATGAGATGTGAAATAAGATTTTATAAAAAGTAGCTAATTATTAATAATAATGTGGATAAAAATGTATAGGTATTCTTATATATAAATTTGGCATATATAGATTAATCTATAAAATAATAAATCGACACACATTTATTCGTTAACAGTGTAATTTTTACGTAATTTAAACTTCAAGAACATAATCGTTGGAGTATCTACCTAATGTTTTCATATGGTTTCTAATGGTGAATAATTAACAAACGTATTCCTAATATTATTAGTGATTGTGTGATTCAGATAGTTGGAATTAAAAATAAAACTAATAGAATTTGTTTATCTCAATATTATTAAAATTGAGTAAATATTGAGAAAATGTCATTATAATACGTTATTTTGAAAACACAACACGAACACGAAATACCTATCACGATAATATGAACCGTGGTTGTGCTATAGCTGGTCTCGTCCGCAAGTCGAAATAATATGCAATTTGCCAAAATATTACAATAAGAAGTAGATAGGTGTCGGAGGCGGGACGTGGTTTTCGTAAGATGGTTTCTCAGTTATGTGAGGTCCCAGCTGTGGGCCGGAGAAAAATTGCTTTTTGTTTCTACGTGAAATACATGGGGAATAGAGTCGGTATGAGAATTTCTGGTCACCCACCTGCACTTGCCTCAGCTGGAATTCCACTTGTTAAAGTTGTGTGTTTACAGTGTCAGCCCAAAATCACAATAATGTTTTACACCGACAGTTTAGTAATTTTGTACCAAATGTCGTCATCGACCCACGGACCCACGGACCAATAATGACGTCCAACAATGCACGCCCACGACACCGATTAAATGCGAATTTGTATGCACTTTATGCTTAATCACGATTTCTTCATTTGCGTTTAAGTCATTTGAGTGTTACGCTAATGGATTCGTTCCGACATTTTGAGATGGAGTTTTGGGTGGGAATCTGAAGTATTTTTTGTGAAAGTATTCGATATTATAGTTTAAGACCAAAAAGCTTCGAAGGTCGTCGCCGGGTGACGTGCTTATTAATGAATATTAATAATTATCGTACCGACATAATATTTGGCATTCATAACGCTAACAACATTAAAACAAGTCAATCGATATTTGGAGCGCATAATATTAATAATAGGATAATACTATAATATGTTTAGCATGTACATCATACATACTCTATATAATCTATATATATTATTCGTTAAATTGTTATCCTACAGCGCATAATATTATTACGAGACGAGAAATTAAATTAAAAAGGCGTATTTTAGAACATCATAGTAATCGCTGGTATAATAATAATATATATTCTCTTGTATTCAGTATATGTCCCGCGGTTTATGTTAATAGTTTGATATATATAATTTTATGCTCGGTTGAATATTGTTTTAAATTATGGTTTTCATATTATTATATACGGGTGGAAAATCAATATATTATTTACATCCCAGCGCATAAAATTACATATATTTTATTACACTATCCGAATAGACATTTTCAATAATATAGAACATGCGAATAAAATACCAGTATAATTTTTTACATACGAATCAATCCAATATCTACTCATCAATGTATAATATTATGTCGTTTTACTAAAGCGAAAAAGTCGATACCTGTTTTAGTTCTAATCAAACATACGAAAAACTAAAAACATCACGTCTTGCGGTTTTTAAAAATAAATTCAGAAATGTTTGCATGTGACTAGTTAACTCCAATATAAGGCAATAATATGTTAATATTTAATAATGTTCTCGATGATATTAAACTAAATAGTGTGTTATATACTTATATCTAAGCAAATAATACTATGTAATGGTATAACTAACGTGTTAATCGATAAAGTAAATGAAATAGGTTCTAAGAAATAAAAAACAAATATTTCACGTTGGTTTGGTATAAATTACATGACATTTGTATTCGGTAACGAGTAAGCCATTATACACGATCACTCAGAAAGTATCACAACTTTTAATTTAAAAAAGGTGCTCTGCTGTACAGTAGGTAACAAGTGGGTCACTGTATAATGGATGGTATTAAATTTGAATTATAAAAAAAAAAAAAAATAAAAAAAAACACACATCATTGTAAAATCAATACATTGATCGTTTCCACTCAGAATCTAAAATATACATTTTAGAATATTCGGTAATAACTATACAACAGAATATAACAAATAATTTTCGATATTAATCTATGTCCACGAAAACTGACAAAAGTTTTTAGTTACAATTATTAAATGTTCCTCGGTAAAGAAAATAATAAGCGTTCTATAAGGATAATAAAATGTATACAAAAAACACTTTATAAGTGTAAAATAAATAGGTAAAGAAATATTATGTAGGCGTAGGTACCAGGTACCTACATTATAAATGAATTAAATAATAATATTATGTTTATTGTAATATTATCTTATTGTTATTATATTATTTGATAAATCTATAATATGATAATCAATTGTTTATGCATTTACGACGACAGATAATAATTTGGTTGATATAAAAAGAGCCAAGAGGTTTATCAATACATATTGTACATTTTTTTTTCTTGTTTTGGTAATTTGTTGTTTACTAAAAAAATATTAGTTGTTAAATTTTTGACATTTAGTATTTTACGTTAAACAATGAAAAGGTGAAACTACCTATAAGCTATTTTGACGTTACGTGACGTGAATGACGAGTATGGATTATGGTGTCTAAATGTCTTTCATTTTGCACTCCGCATTTATATGACGTGTTAAGATGAATATCATATTTACCAAACACTATTAGACACACACTACAGACACTAAAGAGACTAAAATGTAACTGAACGTGAAATCTGAAAAATAAGATCAAACCAGCTGAATAAAATTTTCGGCTCAGGATAGCGATAAGTATAAATAATATTCAATTTAAGAACAATGAAAAATCATATTATTTGAAAATCAATGGAGCTCCAATTAACCTGCACGGTTATTGCTGATGTCTTAGATATAAGATTTTTCGACGATTTTAGTGTCTACACCTACCGACTGGCGTAGTTTTTAATTACACCTGAAACAAATTACATCCTGAACTACTCAATATTATTCAATATAATTTCCTTTAATTTTGTATAATATTGTTGTCGAAAAACATTTTAAGAATTTAACAAAATTCTATGATATTCATACATGTCGATGTCATATAATATTAAAATAATATTACAGTCGATAATAATCAATATTTTATCTCTTATTAGTTATTACTTATTATACATATCTTATATCTAGTTTACTACTTTAATACGATTTTCTTTAAACGGTCGAAAGGACTATAATCTTCCATATAAACTGTTAATATGTAAGGAATTAAGTAAATTAATCATCTTCATCTTCATCTTCATCACTTTCTTCTTTCTTCTTTTTCGAATCTTTTTTTTTAGATTTATTTGGTTTTTCTTCTTCTTCTTCCTCTTCTTCTTTTTCGTCTTCATCTCCTTCTTTTTCGTCTTTTTCTTTGTCATCTTTTTCTTTTTCTTCGTTATCTTTTTCTTCATCATCATTTTCTTCGCTATCTTTTTCTTTTTTTTCATCTTCATCTTCATCTTCTTCTTTTTTTTTTTCTTCATCACTTTCTTCTTTCTTCTTTTTCGAGTCTCTTTTTTTAGATTTTTTTGGGCTTTCTTCGTCTTCTTCTTCTTCTTTTTCTTCTTCTTCATCACTTTCTTCTTTCTTCTTTTTCGAGTCTCTTTTTTTAGATTTTTTTGGGCTTTCTTCGTCTTCTTCTTCTTCTTTTTCTTCTTCTTCATCACTTTCTTCTTTCTTCTTTTTCGAGTCTCTTTTTTTAGATTTTTTTGGGCTTTCTTCGTCTTCTTCTTCTTCTTCTTCTTTTTCTTCTTCTTCATCATCTTCTTCTTCTGCTTTCTTCTTTTTTGAACCTTTTTTTGGGGATTTATTTGGTTGTTGTTGTTGTTCTTCTTCTTCTTCGTCATCTTCTTCTTCTGCTTTCTTCTTTTTTGAACCTTTTTTTGGGGATTTATTTGGTTGTTCTTCTTCATCTTCTTCTTCTTCTTCCTTTTTTTCTTCTTCTTCTTCTTCTTCTATTTCTTCTTCTGCTTTCTTCTTGGTTGTACCTTTTTTTTTACCTATTTTTTTTTTTTTAGTCTTCTTTTTTTTAGATTTTTTCGGTCTTTCTTCTTCTTCTTCTTCTTCTTCTTCTGCTTCTCCTTCTTTATCTTCTTCATTTCCATTTCCAATCTTTAATCTATTTGAAATCGATTTTAGTATATTTGGTAGAACTCCTTGATTTCGTCCCGCATTTTTTAAATAATTAAATGAACTTGATATTGGCGATATTATTCCTGAAGCTACTTTTTTGAAGAAATTTCCAAGTCTCTCTAATCTATTAGTCAATACATATGTCTGACCATTAGATATAAATTTTTTCGGGAGTGCTACGGTTACAGGATTTTTAACGGAATACATTCCTGTACCAAAACGAGGAAAAATGCTTGAAATTCCTGAAACAATAATCATACATCAAAAAGTACTGAGTAAAATATTAAATAAACACTAAAATATTAAAACATGTATAATGTAACCTTCAAGACTTAGATTACCAACTTATTTTATTCGCATAGAGTATATCTATATTCATAGAGTTATTTTTAAGTTATTTTTAAGTTGTGTATGATATTTATTATTATTTTGTATGTGATATTATTTACCATTCATTAACTTAACTCCCTGAGGTAACGGTGACAATTTTGACTTTGAACTTCCAGATTGAGCAATTAATTGTTTTAACAGATCAGGATTGTTTCGAAGTGCTGAAAAACCAAAATTTTTAAATGAAAGTATATACTTATACACGCCTTTTTCAGGGACCCTAAAAAATCCCATCCTTTCCACTCAAATTTCAAAATTAAACAATTTTTCATACCATTACAACTATTTAGCTCAATACAAGTAACATATTTATTGAGTAATATAATGATAGAAATTTACAGTTTTATAATGCTCATACTTGTTACAAAATTACAATAAAAAAAAAATCCTACACGGGCTTAGATAATATTCTCACCTTCCAATTGCATAATATAGTTATGTTAATTATTCACTCTAATGTTGAAAAGCTGGTAAGTGGGTGTCGTTCTGCTGTACAGTAGGTTACAAAACGGTGGCTGTAATGGATTGTGTTAAATTTTAATTCAATGATATAATATCATTTAACATTTTATACTAAACCCGATTCTAAGCGGAGACGGTTTGTCAGACTATGATATTACTAAGTATATTTGATGATATTATAGTTTATAGTCCAAATTTGAACATAAAATGTCTGTTAAAAATAACTGTGTTTATATATTTTATACTTTTTGGTTACAGTTTAAAGTATTCATGAGAATCCTTGATTTAAATGTTCATAATTTATAATTTTTTAACTGCAATAAATGTTGAACATTTTCGATATTTTGATATACACATTGTATTAAATTCTCAAGCTCTTTGACCCAACAATATTTTATTGAAATGTATAGAATAAAAAACTAAAAAATTTCAAACTTCAAATGTCTAAAAACGAGTCAAAATATTTAAAAAATGTCATCATGTCATTATCTATAGAAAATGATAAAAATAATATTTTATGAAAATTACAAGTACCTAAGGTTAATAGTTTATGATCAACGACAAAATATAAAAATGGTGTATAAAAATTTGTTAATTTACGGGTGAATAACCAAATTCTAACCTCAAATGCTCGTAAAATATTAATTAGACTTTCGGCTAAACTTTTTTTTGTTAAATATAGGAAAACTTAAGGGGGAATCTTGCAAAATATTTTGAAAGTTTAGATATAAATATTAATTTTTTATGTATTGGAAATACGAAATAATTTGCCAAATTTCTTGATTTTGATGAATTTTATCAAATATTTATCTTTAAAAGATCATAAAAAAATACTGTGGATTTAAGCTCAACTTTTTTTTAATTATCACTGACAAAACTTATGAGAAACATTGTTTTAAATTTTCAAGTATTTGACCGAGCAAAAAAAATGTTTATCTAAAATAATTTAAAAAAATTATCAAAACTCGAAATTTGCTTATGCCTATAAATAGCTCAAAAAATATCTCAATATTTCTGTCCCCATCAACCACAAAGCGTAAAATCAAACCCTGCCCTTTGACATGGGTTGACCAACAAATTTAAAACCACCTTCCTAAACATCCATCCACTAGTAGAGGCAAAAGCCTGGTATAGTTTCACGGCTTAGCCATCCCCCCAAAGCAAAGCAAAGCAATATTTCTGAAATTGTATGGTGCATGGAAACTGTTAACTTTAACATTCTAAAGTTAAACTAAAAAACAAAATCAATTTTTTTTCAAAAACTGATTTTGCGTAAAAATGTCTGTTTTCCATTAATTATTTGTTTGTTTTTCCTGAAGCTTTTGAAAACCATTGGGAATTTTCACTTTTAAGCCCCCCCCCCTCCCAAAAAAAAAATAAAAATACCAATTACATTCAATTTCCTATCAAAAAAGTGTTGTTGAAGAAAATTGAAGCATTTTTACTGTACCAAAAGGTGATGACAGACACAAAAAAAAAACACATCATTGTAAAATCAATACATTCGTCGCTCCGCTCAGAATCTAAAATGACAGTGTATAATAAATATAAATATAATAAATTGATTATTCTGAACATAAAATTAACGTAATTGAATGCGTTAGTAAAAAGGACACAATAGGTACATAAAGGGTATAACTACGTCCTCTAACAAATTAATATAATTAAAATTGTAATACCTAGCTAGGTCCTAGTATTTACTATTTATTATCAGACATCAGTGCTGTAATGGATCCTTTTTTTTATCAATTATTATTTGGGTAAGTAAGTACAAAACATTATTTTAATACTACTAAAATATTACTTACCAAATAAGTTGTTATTAATTACATAGATATAATTTGCTAGTTTTTTGCCTACATAAAACATGTTAATGAGACTACAAGTATACTATAAGTAATCCATTAGTTATGAAATATACCATACGTCTTACATAATATACTATTGTATGTAAGGAGTGGATATCAATTAAAAAAAACTAATTATTGGACCCACTCAACCCCTTAACAAATTACTGGGTAGGTACGCTTATATTGTATCATAGCATTTATTAGAAAATAATATTAATACTATAATAAATAATAGTACATGTTTTAATAATTATTGTCATTACATTTAAATTATATAGGTTATTATGATGTTGAAAATTATAATTTATAAACTGAAAAAATAATCACAACTATTTTTTTATAAGTTGTACCTTCGTTTACTTTGTCGTAGCTCTCTTCGGAGACTTGTAATGAAAAAGCTTGAAGTGATTGAATGCTTGTCAAAAGAGCTATGTAATTTAATGGATCTAAAAACAAAGTAATTGACAGTTATAAATTAAAACAATATTTAAATAAACTAATGAGTACAATTATTTCCTCTTAATGTTTCTTGTAATTTAAAAACTATACTAACTCAGTTATTTACCTACAATAACGTCCAAAACTAACACATTGATCACACATTATTTTTCTGTAGTCAATTATTTTTAACTGTAATTCTTAATTTCTTAATTTATTTAATTTCAAGTAAATTATAATTTTTTTTTTTGGTATTAAAGATTATTATTATTATTATTGTTATATTGATATTTTTTTAGAATTGTTGAGAAAACTATTTGTATTTAAATATTAGATTACTATTTGTTCATATAGGCACCTACAGTATTATAATAGTGATTAAATAGTGAGCGAAACAAAGTATAAAAATATGTAAAATAAACCAATGATGCGAGTATTTTTAAATATACAAATATTATGTTTTACAAATTCGAACATTATTACGTTATTGCGTTGCCTACTTATGATAAATTTTGTGCGGCTTCGTGTAATATTGTAGAGTGAATAAAATTTGAAACATACGTAGACATTTATTAGATAATAATATTATTATATATTATTACGTTATGCGTACTGCTTATTTCCTTATATATATCCTTATCTTGTAAAATGTGTCTTATTTAAATGGTAAATAATTTTACTTACTCGGCGGAGAGAAACATTGTAGGAAAGGGCAGGTTAGAGTCCATAATAATGTCAAATAAATTATTTTGATTGACGTGCGTGTCATTGAAACGAGTATGTATTTGCTCTGTTTGCATACAAGTGTAACATTTAACCAAAAAAAGTTGATATTATTATTAATATCGAGGTTTGTTGAACACTGAAAATATAATTACCATAAGTTCAGGTTACATTTTCTAAACGCTTTATTTGTTATAAAATGTACTGCAGTAGCGCAATTAATGAAAAATGACGACTGCAGATGTGTGTTTACTGGGTTTTATGTTACACATAAAAAAGATCATTGTGCCTTTACACTACACATTATAGAAAAGTATACATTTAAATCGGTTATAGGTTATAATTTATAAGTATTAATCGTTTTTATAGACATTTAATGTAATAATATAACATATTTTATTGGTGTAGCTATCAATTTTTTAACATTATCATTATTATTTATTACGTGTTGATTTAAGGGGGACGGAGCCGACGCGTTTTTGGTACAAAACTTGTATCATAAAAAAAACTTTCACAAGTCGTGAAATAGGTAGTCAGATTTTGATAATTTTTTTTTATTTGATTGATCAAGACTGCAGGTTAGATTGGACTTTGAATAAAAAAAAAAACAATATTTTTAGAAGTGTAATAATTATCTATATAATATGAATATATGTTACATTTTTGGGTATTTTGAAATTTATTTTTTGGCTTTATTAAAGCTAGGTAGTTAAAAAATCAGAGTCCAATGAAACATAAATAACATTTTAAATAAAAAAATATGATTGAAATCCGACTATTCAATGAATTATTGTGCATTTGCGCTATACCACGTAGCTGGTAACTAAAAGTCGCTAACATTTCTGCCACTTAATAAATATTTGGCTCCGAAAGCTTTAAGTTCAAAGCTTCAGAGATTTAAGCTCAAAATGTAAATAAAAATCAATAATCCAATGCGATAAAGCAGTAGATTGAAAAAAAAACAAATCTAACCATTGATGCAAGAAAGCCTACAGGGATTATTTTGTCTCCGACACGTGAACCTAACTTAAGTGAGAAAATAATTTGATGTACATCTCCGCCAACGTAAATAATTTATCGTTGTCGCCAATCTACTCAACCAAATATAATATAATCTTAACCGATTATTTATACTCACTGCTTTCGTATAATATTTAGTTGATCGTTTATCCATTTTTATATGCATAATCTAAGTTTAAAAATGTAAATGATGTAAATCCATCCAAATGGCCACTGCAACCAACGTTTATATATTCTACAATAATTATAAAAACTAAATTATTATGGGTACACTATAATATATACACATTTGTTGTATAATTAATGTGGTGTGATTTGGTAGGGACCGATGTTATTCGTACCTATTTGTTTTTAAATAATATTCTTTATTCGCCGATATAGCATACACGATTTTTATTTAGCTAAACCGCTCGTTGACTGTGGCAATTTGGTTTCAAAATGGCAATTTACTAGCATAACAAGTACAAAAATCGCATAATTTAAATTATAAGATTATTTACAATACGTACAATTAAGTGTTAAATAATTTTGCATTTACGTTGGATATTTCTTGTGAACAGTATTATAATTATTCGATGTGGCACTGGTCGAGGGATTCGGACCGAATTTATTGTATACATTATTAAACCAACCCATCACACAGCCGATGTACCTTAACGGTCTACAATGCATCAACTACCGTCATCATTCATCTAGTTCCCGTTAGAGGCATGCATTTGTATTAAACGCAAACATTTTTGAATTTACATTTTAGATTATTTACCTTAACTCCACACTATACTAATGCTCATCATTGACTGTGACATTGAACATCGGCAAAATAAATATTAGCTTTGAAAGCCGAAACGATGATATAATAATATAGACAATAATAAATTCGGAAAATTCACACATAGATAAACAACGTAGGTATATTATATATAGTGCCCAGGTCGATGAGTCAAAAACATTTTTATAGGTAGTAAAAAGTAAAAATTATGATTAACGATTAATTTAAAAAGTATAGTACGGACGTAAAACGGATATTATATTGAGGAATCGCCTCTTTTTGCTAATTTCAGTGCGATCCAATGTTCTATACCTATGTAGTAATATCATTCTTATTATTTGTCGTTATTAAATTGTAACCGATTATAAATTATTACATTAAAAACATTCTGAGCGAAGCTTCACGGCAGCCGACTGTATTATTTACATAGTGAAAGTGAGACGACCATTCGCGATAATATTCTCTTCTCTGCTGCTATTGCCGGTTTCAATATGACATTTTTTCATTTTTCATTTTTTTTTATAATATAATCCGCAATCTGTTAGGTACAGTTAATAAAACAATAAGTGAAAGTGACGAACGATTTATTACTTGAACGACGGATTTAAGAAGCTATTTCCAGTGAAGGAACTTTGACAGTTATTCATTTACATTTATTCCTATACACTTACAATAATACTTATTATGTACACATTTTTTTTTTCGTAAACTGATAATACCATAATATTATTATATTGTAGTGAAATGTAATGTTATAATAACCAAAATAATAAACCGACACATCCAGCTGCACGCGAGCTATTATTGTGTTATACGTTTTAATTTGGAAACAATTAATGACAATAATTGACGAATCGTTACAATAATTTCGTGTAGGTAACGCCACATTTAGCCAAATGTGGTCGGGATTTAGTCGGGAATAGATCTGATGTGAATTTCACCATTTTGTCGTCATTTTGAAAACACAATGAATAAATAATAGGTAATGTAAAATAAATTCAAGCAGATTAAAATGCTCAACTTGTATAATAATTAATCACTATTCATGGCATGTAATCGTCAATTCATAAAACCACTTTTCAATTTACCTAATACCTATACAATTCAAACTGCTTTTAAATGATATACATACTACATATTATTATATGCACCATGTCACACAGTGTTGAACTCAATTGTACCACTCCCTGTAGTGATCATCGAGCCCACTATAATAATAAAATATATTTTAACATATTATTACAACGTGGACGGTGCACGTAATGTTTGAGCTTTTCCGGTTGTGATTCCGCTCTCTAGGAAAATGACCTTTCGGTCGAGACACAACGGCTCACTCTGTAGATCACTACTCACTCTAAATCACGTGATTCCTCAGTGACATGCGCACTGCCTCTGTGTTTTCGTACTATTTTGAGGACAATGAGCGCACGCCACCATCATTGATGGCCTAAAAATTTCATTCCCCGCGTGCAGACAAGACGAAAAAATCCAACAACAATATTCCACAATATCGATTCGTCATCTACGCCACGACACTCACTGTCAAAATAGTAAACAACTGCATACAAACACATACTATTATATTAAAATTATTATTGATACATTATTATAATATATACCTAACGTGCCACTAAGATGATGACGAGTGTTTTACTTTGCACTGTGGCGCCGAACGCTCGGGTTATACCCATCCGTTTCAATGGAACATTTAAATTTTTAAAAAATATTTAATCGATTGTAAATTACACTTCAGCGCCACTGATCAAACGCCTCAAATATCAAAAACGATTAGTGTACGACAAACCATACAGAGCCCATAACATAATATGAAGATACAAAATTAACATAGCAGGTGGTTTACTCGTTTTCAACTTTGTGACGTTTCAAACCATACCATACATGTCTGAAATGAATGGCATGCTGCAAAAACCAGATAAGTCCACATTTAAAAAATGCACATATTCACGAAATAAAATAAAGAACAGAAATAGTTCCACAAGTTGGTGCCACAACCAGATTAGTCCGTTATATATTAGCTACAAGTATAGTATTTATAGTAAATGGACTTATCTGATTCTTGTATGCATACACTATAGAACTTGACAAATGTCAAATAGTTTTGTTTCATTTAAAATAGTGTAATTCATTTTTTCATAAAAAAAAAAATAATGATGACTGTGGGGGTGAAACACATAAGGAAAATGTATGACCATGTCGGGTGAAGTTCATTACATTTTTATAAAATGTATAAATTCATTTCTGGTCATGTGGCACTGCACTTACTATTATTATTATACCTTGTATGTTGTATAGATTGTAAATATACTTTTTAAAATAAAAAAAATAAAAACTTTTATGAAAATGTATAAAGAAATAAAAAAAAAACCAACAATGTAAATACATTTCCAGTATCTTTCATAGTAATTTAAAATTGCAATTACTTAAGTATAACTTTCAAAAAAAAATTTTCAACCTTAACAGAAATTTTAAACTTGAGCACATGAGTTATGATTTTGAATTTTGAGTAATAACTAAGGACTTTAAATACTTTTTTTTCTTTTTTTTCGGTAAATATCTAGACTCCACGGAATTTGAAATGAAGTTCACAAAATTAAATATTTTACAAAAGGAGCTGATAAGTGATAGTTAGTTTAAATGTTGGTTTTAACTTATAACTTATAAACTTAAAACTGGCCACTACTGCAAACGGTGTAGACTTCTGGGATATAATTGATGATTTCGTGATAATAATATACTATTTTATTTTTGAATTAAAAGATTCATCACAACAGCATAGTAAATATCTAAAACCGTATGGTACGATAATAATATGAAAAAAAATTGTATCATCTAATACATATTATTTCATTAGTGTCATGAGAGTTCAACAATTATCGAGTGTTGCCTACAAAAGTCAAAAATGATATAAAATTCTAAAAATCTATTGTTTTAATGAAAATAATTCCATTTTGGAATGTATTATTGTCGGTAAACACTGTCGTTTTTAATGGTCTGTATCTCATTTTGTAAATTTGTCAACATTTTTTTACAAACAACGCACTTCTAATGACAACTACGAGTAGGTACTTGTGTTTTTATAAAGAACCTTGAGTTATTAATTGTATTTTTAAAACACGCATGACATTGTTTTTATTCAGAAATTTTTATAACACTCTGCAGCAAAAATATAAATAAAAATTTAATTATTTACTTTAACGTTCTACAATTTATGAATCTTTTTACCACATATTATAGTTTAAATATTAATGTGAAACATTTAAAAGATATTAGGAAAATAAATTATTCATTTAAAAAGGAAAATTATACTATTACATATTATTTATGTACAAATGTCCTAAAATTAATTTGATGCTTATTTTATTGTAAAAATCGGTACCTTTAAAAAACAAAGAATATTTATTTTTAAGTATATTGATTATTATATTATTATTATTATTATTATTATTATTATTATAGTGATTGAAATGTACTTAAGGTTTGTTTTAATTAACTCACTATAATGAAAACAAAAATATAATAACTCGATAAAAAAATAAAATAAAATAACAATTATAAGTTATTCCGTTCTTTTCTGTACAGCTGAACTATGATTAATATACTTACCTTATTTTAATAAATATCATAGTAATTAAATTGAAAATATCAAACGTGTAGTATGTACGTATATACCTGTACGAGTGTAGATAAGAATTGAAGTTAAATATTATAGCTAATTCTTTGAGGCCATAGCTGCACGAATATCATATTAATCGTATTAAGTAATTATATTTTATAATATTATAATAAACTTAAAAAAAAATTGTTCGTAAGAGTTATGGATAATACGTATATACTATATTATAAGAGCCAATATTTGTCTTGTAGTTAATTCGAAGCATTTAAAAATTATTTAATACACAATAAGTTACATAAAATATAGTTCAATAGTTGTAATATTTAAATTATTTTATAATATTTTATTATCTCAGACATGACCTTTATGTTAAACGCATTTAATATTTAGATGTTAACAGTTTATGTACAATTAATTCCACGTTTGATAAAGGTTATCGATTTTTCATCAAACACATAATTTCAAATTATTGAGTACAGTTGATCAGAGTCAATGAAACTACGAATAAATACTAAATACAATTCATCAATTAACGTTCGAACAATTATCCAATATTGATAAATAAATTCTAAACAAAATTCAATGTTTAAATATTTATAAATTACAATTATTTGTTGTAATTATAGTAAACAATAAAAATATTATATACAATTACAAACAATTATTTTTTTTTTTTTTGTTCATTTACTAGTCATTACTATACCAATTATAGAATTTCCCTAAAACATTCACAGAGGGAGTGTATCCGGGAATATAAAATTATTAAAATTTGTATTTTTCAAAGTAAATTTTTTTAACAATAAACAGCATATTAAAAGATTTAACAAACAGACTTTCTACATATATTCTTATTATATTTCTTATTTTTATCCTTCTAATATCCATATCATGCTTGATAGTTAATATAAAATATATAAACTATAACTCCCACTTTTTGCGGTCCCTTTCGACTTCGAGCAACCAAGTCTGAACGTATTAGGAATATATGGGATATATATTAGGAATTAGGATTTATATAAGAATATAAAATATCTGCTTATTTATTTTATTAATTAGGTATGTTTTTTTCATTCTTATATGACAACTTTTTTTTTTGTTAAATGTTTCTTTTACTATCTATGTAGTAGTTATTTTGATTGTTAATTTTTATTATTATACATTTACGTCTGTTATAGTTATAACTATATAGTAATTGGTTACAATGCATTTTTCGATATTCTGGGTCATTTCCGTGCACTCTGAGCATTCCCTAACCTATATCGATTTGAACTCTGTCATATTAGTTGGTTAAAAGTCATTTTTAAGTGACCATTTTGTGACTATTTTTGTCAATTAATAAAACTGATAGTAATTTTACTATATAAAAAAATACTTTTAATTTTAGTGACAAAAGAAAAAAAATCTTTTATTACATTTTTGTGATATTTCAAAATAAATATATTTTTAAAGCTTACATTTGTTTTTATTCTTTTCAGTATTATTATAAAATGGTAGGTATCTATTTTTATTTTCTTGTAATTACTTAAACAAATCATCTAAACTCTTTTTTTTAGTCTTCTTTTTCTTTCCATCTTCTTCATCGCTATCATCATCGTCCTCGTCACTGTCTTCTTTCTTTTTACTGTTTCTACCCTTTATAGGTTTTTTTTTGCTTCCTTTTTCATCGCTTTCTTCATCGCTGTCTTCGTCGCTTTTTTCGTCACTTCCTTCTTTGCTTTCTTCTTCGCTTTCTTCATCGCTTTCTTCATCGCTTTCTTCTTCACTGGTTTTTTTTTTGCTTTTGTTTTGATTTTTTTTAAACGGAATTGTAAAGCCAAATTTATTTTGAATAGCACTTTTATTATTATTTTTTATCAATACATCTTTTAGTACTCTTATAGCTTTTAACTCTCTGGTTATTGAAGGACAAAACACATTCAAAACTTTTTCCCAGAAAAAACTTTTTATTCCTCTCCACGCCGTGTGAAATGCATAACGAGTTTTAGACACTTCGAGCATCTTCCGATTCTTATACCTTGTTTTTAATGCATTTACAACAACCGAATAAAGTTGATTTGTCCCAAGGCGATTATCAAATGGCTTAACTTTTAAAGAATCTGAAATGTAGACATACAGTTCAAATATTGAATAGCAATATATTATGGATTATATAATTTTAGTAAGTATATTCAAGTATTGAACATCAAATCAACTTCGATTTTAATTTGGTTCACTTCAACCTGCATAAATTAGATGTGAAGAGTCGATGAACCAGAAATACATTATTCATTAGGTAACACAAATATTTTTGAGCCAATATAATTCGAAATTTGAATTAAAATTTTTATTAATATAATCATTGTGAATAAAACGTTAAATAATTTATAAACTATAAACCTGCTCTATAACAATAATTATTTTTATATTTTTTTGTTAATTAAATATAATTCTGTTACAACAAACCTAAGTGTATTATTTTCGTTTTCTATTATTAAGTAATATTATAAATAGCCAATTAGGTAGTAGTAATATGTAAATATCTGCAACGAGTTTTGCAAAAATTATTTGAAACTATTCAAACACAAATAAACACTACCTATATTGTGGCCAATTTAATAGTACAAGGTATAGATATATCGAAGTTGTTGAATTATCGGAACATATAGAAACAAATCCATTATTGTATTGTTATTTTTTGATTTCCATGCGAAATATTGCCACGTTATAATATGTAGATATAAACTCTATTACTAACCTCTAATGTATATTTTTTTTCCATTTGTTACAGACGAGAAGCTTATGATGAAAATCGATAAAAATAAATAAACGCACCGTCCATCCATTGGTAAAAATATTGTCGTGTTTAAGATACGTGGTATAAAAAATATATCATACTTTAACTATGAAATTAACCACCGTCGATATTTTTTACTCGTTTGAACCCACGGTGGGTGGTTTTATTTTGTCAAATATTATTCTGCTAATTGCTTAGCAAGTCAATATGTTGTCGTATTGTTATGACGAAGCGACGTACGCAAGTGTAAAACAATATAATTGGTGGTTTTTGTTTACTATAATAAACATGATGGTTCACATGTAATTGCATTTTTTTTTTCAAAATTACTTTTAATAAAAATACACATAGACTCTTGACGGTTTCACGTCAAACCTGTAGTAATTGGGCATGCATTTTACAAGCGGTGATTATATGTTCTATTGGACTATTTAGATCATTATTTGTTCTGGAGGAGAAGTACTGGCACCATAGTTCCTCCTCCAGTCCTCGATACCACAATAAAAAAAAAAAAGATCATTATTTGTCCGAGTTACCTGAAAGTAATGGCTAAACTTGTTCAGCTTAGCCTCGTGGCTTGGAACTCAATTATTACGGTAGGCATTGAACGATCAACGACGATCAAATATACATTTTGCATATTATTATATTAAACGGTTTCAGAAGTCGGCGCATTCACTAATAATAACCCGTAATAAGCTCATCATATATCGTGTTCAAGTCGAGACGAGCCATCGACGTCACGTAATCATCATTATTCATGATTACTGTTACGAGTTTAATATCATAGTATATTCAGCGTTCATTATATATATATCAAACCTAGTGGTTGACCGTAGACATACCCGCAGGTTGTAGGATTATGTATTCGGTGTGCCTTTTGGGCATGGATTCCATTAAACAGAAACAGACCACCTAACCTCACTATTATTTACGCATCCGCAACTCAATATAAATTATAATACACCTACGATTCCTAGAAGTCCTATACTGGCTGATAATAAACGTATAAGTATTTTGGTAATCATTTTCTGTTAATATAATATACTAGCTGGACATGGCAATGCGTCGCTATTGCTAGGTTTTTGTGATTATGCGAGCAGTATATTATCAGGATAGGTTAGGTTAGGCGATGCGTACGTAAGTGTAAAAAAAAAAAAATGGTTCACTGAGACCGTGATCGATACTTTCTGTACTAAAATACACAGGCTTATCGCTTTAATAATAATAATTACTATTATTAAAACCAATAGCAACCAATATTATAAACAACAAAAAAAAAACAATAATAATATTAATACAGAGATAATAATATTAAGTACAGAAATCGGATGAAATGTTTAGGAATGCATAAGGAATATAGTCATACGCAAACATTTTTTGTGTTTTAAAATTTTAAATATATAAATTATAATATATTTCGCCTGTATTAAACCTGACACCATCAATTTAAAAAGAAATGTTTTTATATATATTTAATATTATAATACATAGTAATTAATATTACTACAAAACTAAAAAATTAGACAATTGAAATACCTACTATCACGAGTGAATAGTTTATACTGAATAGGCTTGTATAGGCTCCATAATTGTTATTATTACCATCCATAATGATTATTTATTAATAAGGTCTATCGAGTGCATTTATTTCATTATTTGATAATTAAATGGAGTTATTTAAATATAATATACACCCAGCGAAAATAAATCGTAGGTATAACTTTAATATTTACCATGTAAATACGATTTACGAACGAGCCAAGGTAATATATTGCCGGGGTAGGGCTGCAGACGAGCTTTACTATTTTTCAAACTTGTTAAATTGGAGTCATCGAGTCTGTTGAAACACATTAACCATGTGAATGGTCTTAGTCCTAGAACACTAATAATGTCTTGTATTTGTCAAAAAATCCAACTGATGTTCAATGATATAATAATAATATTATATTTTTAGCATTTCAATAATAAATAAATTATGAGAACACGGCGTAATAGATAGGCAATTTAGCTACATCGTGTTCATTTTTCCGGTACTCCATAGAAGTTTCTAGGTAACATATTTACGGACTGTATAAGCGGCAACAGTACATAATATGGAGATTGGAGATGTTACGTTCGTGTGATCGGGTGATGTTATACTAATATATTATGAGGTATGGCGTTAATGAGTTAATGAGAAATTTCTATAGCATCTATAGTAAGTTCAGTAGTAACTAGTAAGCGTAACTTTTGACGTAACTGTAATATATTACGTGTACCAACTATATAATATACCAAATATAGGTTACTCGAAGAGTTTTTTTTTACTGCAATGTAACTTGAAACATGACGAGGCACCTTGAGACATCATAGCAAAAATAATACGTTACTTGAGAAAAAAACATTCTATTACATAGATAAAAAATAACATTTTTAATGGGATGTCAGCACAATATTTGTTTTCTCCCTCGGACCCACGCATGCAACATCATGGATAAAACGCATCCATGTAGAATAGTTTGTTTTATGTTTTTTGATTAATCTAAGTCCGTTTAAATCCATTACAGTGATCTACTCAATTACGAGGTAAACTCGACACTTACTGTACAGCAAAATGGTTACTTACTTTGCCCCTTTTTTAAAATAAAATTAGTTTACCACTTTGTATTGTTTCCGATAATATAATTATTATATTTTATATCTAATGATTAAACGGGATGTTTTACTGAGTTCGAATATAATTGTCTTAGTAACAATAAATAAAACTGTTGACTCTATTATGTTAATTAATTTACAATCAATTTATTGACTTTAAGTAAAAATCACAACGTGACTGACCCAGATTCGGATCCTATAAAAATAGCTATATAATTAGGCATACCTATTATCATACAAGTCTCAAAATAAATTCGTTGACAAAATATGAGTCATGTTTTTAACGACACTACAAAAGTCAATAGGATATATAGAGGACTACACAGTACACATGACGTCTATAGTATATATTATATGTATATATACTTGGGGTGGGGTTGGACGATAACGTCAGCGCTATAGCACATAATATTTTTATGATGACTAGACGTTCTGTTTTTCTTTGTTCAAACCCAATTAACTGTAGTGTATATAGTATATAGGTACATACAGCATCTTCATCGATCGGTTTTGCTAGGAGAGTGGTCCAACGGCCAATGGTGATCGAAAAATATAGTTATTTATTATGAATCAGCTATCAAAAACATTCATAGCTCCCAGCTCGACAGTCAGGCCATTATGAGCCATGTTTAAATACATTTTTAATTTAATCATGTTTTAAAGACGTCAAGTAATACTAATATATATAATATATACAGTATATTATTATCACATATGCATATTATCTGATGATCTAAAATACATTATAATAGTTAAATAATCATAATGCAATTGAGTATTTTAGTCATACAGACATTATATTCATTAGATGGCATTTATCGATTTTATGACGCATTAATGTATAAATACTTTATAGAAAGCATTCCAAACTATATTTATTAATCAATTAATTTCTTTTCCCGAGGTATGAAATGTCCACCTACTCCACATATTGTCCCTACTAGTATTTAAAACAATACATATATTTCAACATTTAATTTAAATAAATATTTTTATTTTAACTCCAATAATTTTTATAATTAAGAATAATAATCAGAATAATTATGTATTCAAATAATTTCAAACATAAGAGTATAAAATGCCAAAAATCGGGTGAGTGGATGTCGCTCTGCTGTATAGTAGGTTACAAGTGGGTCATTGTATAATGGATTGTATTAAACTTGAATTCAATGATGTAATATCATTGCATAAGAAAAACGATTCTGAGCGGAGACGATTTGTCAGTTTGGATATTTTATATTTTTATTAGTTTCTATATCATGTAAGTTGAATTAATATTATAATATTATTATTTTTTATTTGTTTCTATGGTAATAAACAAAGCGTTAGAAATTAAAATCCAATTTTTAGAGGCTTTTCGTAATTTTTCAGTGGTTTTTATCGTGGGATTAAATAATTATTGATAAAAACGTAAAATGACCTCTCTAAAGTACCATCTTGATCCAATTTGCTGAAAGATAATGTACTATAATTATTATGTTGAAATCGAAGAACTCCTTCTGGTAGAAATGTTGTATACAGGATAAAAAAAAAAAAATCTAAAATAATCTAAAATAAAAAATAAAAAAATATTAGTATAAAAAGTATAAATATTAGTACAATTTTGACTTTAATATTATGTCTATTAAAGATAACAGTGTCTAATTGACGTTATCTAAAACAAAAATAAGTCCGTTACATTAATTTTATACAGACTAGTTTTAATAAAAATATTTTGGAAAACCACAGATAATATTTTAACATAAAGCACATTATTTTTGTCAAAAGTTTTTTTTTTAAACAAAAGTTTTAATACAAAATATTTAAAACAAAAGTTTTATTTTTATATTCTTTGATGTATTAATCATATTAAGAATTTATGGTTGCGATTTTCCAGTTTTTACAGCATCCCCATAACAAAAATGTACAGCATTAAGATAACGATAATGTCTGTCTCTTTCAAAACACTCTACTGTTAGGCCCTTTTAGGCCTTTACTAAACTATGGATCTGTACTTTGGAGTTTGGAGTTCGCGTATACTTCTTCTGACCATCTCATGATTAACCGTGTTTAGAGAATGTCTTGTCGTACTGCTCTCTTTATTCATAATATCCCCATGTCCGACTAATGAGTAATGACTATACGTGACAATCAGTAAAGCGCTCGATTTATCTAGCTTTGCCGATCACAGTATCACGGCCAAGAGTCAATTTCTCTCCAAAAGTTCCTTTATAATTATATTGATACCCTTCATTAGTTGTAATCGCCAGATACTGCCGAATATACAACGTATATGAGTGTGGCTTATACTTATAGGAGCCTAATTAATATAACCTCGTCCCTTCTGGTAATCGTTTGGTTTGGGCCATAGTATACATTATCCGCCATAATATTATTACTATACACTAGCAATATTATTTGAATTATATCATA